AATTTGAAATTCAAGGCGCATGAATCATGCGATCGCAGGTGGGCGTGGCACTGTTGCTTAACCATTTGCCATTAATTAAATTTAATGAATTGTGCTGGCGCGTTGATTTGTGCAGCTGCAACAACAACAACAACGAGAACAAATTGTTTTGTGCTTTTGGCAAAAATGCAAAGCGCAACGCGGCGTATACGTGTTGTGCTACAAATTAAGTCCAACAATTGCCAAAATGGGCGTCACACAGACGCCTGCTCGGGCCGCCAGGGCACGTCCTGCCGCTAGATCTTCGTCTATTTCCGTTGCACGGGCTGCATTTGATTAGAACGGCATCCCGGCTCAAAAACACATTGCCGCCCCAGGAGGGCGCATGAAAGCAACGTAATAAATGTCAGCGCCAAATGACAGCTCCTACGGCTGTAGCTTCAGCTACAGCTCTAGAGAGGCCTCCCGCACGTTTTGAGTGACGTCAACAGCTGTCAGTTAATGTCCAGAGCACTCGCAACATATTTGGCCTGGTGCTCCTCCTGCTGCTCATGCGGCTCCTTGTTGTATTCCCTCGAGTCGAGCCATTCTCTGTGCGAGAGTTGCTCTTTTTCACACATGCCAAATGAAAATTAGGCTATGAAAAGTCCTGTTATGTGTATACACGAATATTTGTGCTGCGGTTTGTCCTGGCCCAAATGCCTCAAATGCACAGCGCCCCCTTCCTCCCTCCCTGCCTTACATTGTTTATTTATCAAATATCCACACTCTGTCAGAGCCAAAAATCCGGTGCTGCTAACAAGCGTCGAGAACAAAAGCAAAACACTAAAACAACAAAAGCACATACATATCAAGTGTGGCGACATCGAATGATGTACTGCCTTGGGATACCCTGTAAATTGAAAGAAAATTGTCTGTTTAAATATTTGCGATGCAGCATTTGGAAGGTGGAAGGCTTGTTCCAGGCTCGAAACTCAAATTAAATTTACGGCTTAGTCTGGGAGTAATCAGAATAATATTGCCTCAGGTACCGGGCATTATGTAAAACCCTTTTCTCATGCTCTAGCAACACTTAAATTAAATGTAATCCCAAGCTCTTCAAGTTTTTGGAACTATTTAGAGCTTAGTTCGCAACAGCTGCAGACGAAAAACACTTAAATATTATTAATTATAGCTCTTTTGTATAAAATATCGACTTATGAATAGCACATGGCTATGGCTTTCAGCCTATAATTTAGTGCAGAGCAGAGGACCAGGAGCCTGGCGTTCGCACCTGTAACATTTACCTTATATTTTGTTGGCCCTAATGACTTGCTCCCTTAGCCAACTCTTGGGACCAGGCAACACGCAGTGCATTAAATGTTATCCCTAATGGCTTCAATTGTTTGCCACAAACTTCTGTATGGGCTGATGAGACCTTTTGAATTCGCTGCGGCGAGGGTATACCAAAACCAAATGCCAGTCGCTTGTTAGGCCATTCTTGTTAGCCTTGTTTGCCTGTATCCTGTGCGTGAGTGTGTGTGTGTGTGGGCTGGGCATACATGCACAGCCGCACAATTAATTTGCGGCTTGCTAACCGAATGCTGTTGCGTATTTTTTTTTGCTTCTTCATTTTGAATTATAAATAAATCTGTGCATCTGACTCCATGGAATTGTGAATGCCCAATGACGTCACGTCATACACACACACACACACCAAAGCACACACATCACATAAATATTGCCTACTTATTGGCATGTCAGTTGTTATGAACCCGTACCTGGATCTGTGCCTTGACTTTGCTGCAGATAATTGATTAAAGGCTAAATGGGAGCGCCATTATCCTTAGCCAGATGTTGCCTCAGCTAATTAGACACTAAACTTTCTGCTTAATTAATATTGTCATTAGAGAGAGCGCAGATTGTGCCAATCTGTGTGTGTGTGTGCGATAGCACGCAGATGTAAGATAAAAGCAATTGGAATAAGTTGGCACAGTTACATTTTAGTATGCCGAACACATTGAATACACTAACTATTAAGGAGAAACTGACTGAATGAAGGTTAAACAAGCTTGTAAGCAAAAAATATTTGCTTCCAAGGAAATCAGAATAGTTTTGTTAGAAATGTATAACCCGATCAGCATAGCTAGGTCGGAGCAGCCTGATCAAGAATAAATGCAAATATAATGGGATGTGAAAGGAACTAGAAATTCAAGACAAATTTTTGACTTAACTAATCTTCAATGAATATACACAACTTAAAGAAATGAATAAATTGCAGAATATATAAAACAACAGGGATATACTGAACCTCAGCTGGAACTTGTACCCAGTAAATATTTCAGAAATACTTCAAAAATACTTCCAAAATAAGGAAAGATTTATTCGATTACAAAACTGAGTTAAAAGCTTTGGCTAATTGAATGGCCCAAAAACATTGTGTTGCCCTAAATATTTATGTTGTATATCAATTATATATACAACAAACATGATTGAATTTTCATGCCATTAAAGTCTACGTGCATTAGGGGTATTCATTTTGATTACACACTGAACCCAACTCAATGTCTGCAATTTGTTTATGTGGTTAATATTTTTCTTGGGACGCTTGTTGGACTTTTCCTGACGTTGCCAGTGCCAGGCCATAAATTTGCCAGGGTGAAAGAGACAGAGATAAAGAGAGAGAAGGAGGCTGACAAAGAGAGAGAGAGAGAGAGAGAAACTGGACGGTTAATACAAAGACATTTGTCGCCATAATTTGACAGGCACATAAATTCATTAAAGTATGCTCAGCGCTTGCTTTGCCGCCCGTTTTCTTTCCTTATCCCCTCTCTATCTCTCTCCCTCTCTGTTTGCTTATAGCCCTGACTATACCCTAGACTTTGCCAACATCATGAACTTGATGCATGAAACTGTTTTCTTGGCTTTCAGAAATATTTCATTACTTCATCACTCGCATTGTCATAGAATATATGGCACATATATTTCTATTTTTTTCCCTTCTTTATTTTCTTGTATTTTGTTTAATGTTTTTATTATTTTCGTGAAAATATTTTCGCAAACACGTCAAGGCATTGCCCCTGCCCCCAGCCAACCGTTCGTATACCCTACCTTTTATTTAGTCAATCGGGCACTTCTTTTCGCACCCCAGGCCTTTAATTTGGCTGGCGGCCAACGGAATTTGTATCTGTTTCAAATAGTTTGTTCTCCCTTTTCTCCGCATCCCCACCTGGCACCTCTTTCCCGCCTGCCCAGTTTCTGGTAATTTGTGTTTGCTTTATTTAAACGCGCTTTGATATTTTATTTATTTACGTGTGATGAGCAACAATCGGTTAAAGATTTTTGCATTCCTTGCTGCATTTGCATGATGTTAATTTTTAAATATCTTATTCCGCATTTTATCTGCTCACATAATTCACTTGTTGTTCGCCTGCTTCTTGCTGGTTTTTATGTTCTTCAATTCTCAATCTATGGCAATTAATTGCCATTGAGCATTTGCGTTCGCTTGGCAAAAGATATTTTCATCTGTTTAGAACATAAATATTGCGTGCACGCAAGTGCGCAGATATCTGTCGGGCTGTCTATCAATTGTTGGATTGATTTTAAAGACTGACTGAAGTATTTAAGCACTTGTTAGGAATTTCCTTCTAATTGCTTTTTCGGCATGTGGTAAATGATATCGTGTCTGTTGCCCGACGCATTTTTCCATTCCCCATTGCGTGCTTTGAAGCTCAACAGCAGTAGATACATGTATTTAGATTTATTTTTACTCAAGCAATCAATAAAGTAGGTTATCAAGTAATTTCCGGTTTCGTATGTACTTGAAGTTTGCACAGGATATGTCTAGAAGTCCCTTTGATTTATGGAAGTTGGCTGTTTTCAATTTTTATTTATTATTTTTAATTCTTGCCTATTTATGCCCTTGCAGTTGGTGTATAGAATTATAGTTAGATCTGTGATCCCATAATTTATATCGATTCCTATTCACTGCGATTAGCTGACTTGATATGTATTTGTTACAATCGATTCGTGTATTCTGATCTCTACTAAGCGAAAGACTGTGAAGGAAGCGTATAGTTTTCAGGGTAAATACTATTAACATAGGTCTTTCAGCTTAAAAGCTACCCTGGGTTAAGTACGATCGGCCGAATAGCATCTGTTATATACTCTTGCTAGTTATATAAATTTGCCTCCGGCAGCGTATTTAATCTTCTATAATAGTCGTTACTCATATTTTGCCCATTTTATATTTAATTTCTAAGCCCAACTCGACCATTTTTTTTTACGCTTCCAATTTAAATGCTGCACAAATAGAGATAAGCATTGGCTACTCTACAAATAATGAGCAGGACTGTGGCCTTCCCGCATGCTCAAATTAACAGGCGCATAATTGTTTGCCATTTCTCATTATTAAAGAGGTCGCCCCATTTACACACGAAGTACAAACATTTTACATGCACTCAGCTGTCCGCTCGGGGCTCTAGTTTTAAACAAGTCTCGCCAGGACACTGTCCAAATGTGGCCAGGGCTCTGAAGAGACCCACACGCTTAACCCTTTAACAACAATTAAAAATATTACACTTGACCACCAAAAGGGGGAGGGGCATACAAAATGGCTGCAAAAAATAACAAAAGACAAGCAACTGTGTGAGTAAATGTCTTTCTGTGTGTGAGTATGTGTGTGTGTGAGTATGTGTGTGCTTTGTGGCCACTCAAGTGGCTGCCCTGGCAGGCAATTTACAGTGGCCAGAGTAGTGGCAGCTGCTGCTGCTGCTGATGGTGATGGTGTGGTCCTAGAGAAACCGAGAAAACCGAGTAAACCGAGCAAACCACCAGCCAGCATGACAATTAATGTAAAAGCCCATCAAGTGTTTGCAGTGGGCCCCACATGCTGCCGCTTGCTGTTTCTCTGTCTGGTTAGTTTGGCACATGCTTGTAAATTAGTTGGCTGCACTTGTTACAGCATTTAGTATCTGTGTGTGGACTTAACTCATTTCTCTTACTATTTTCTTTTCTCTTTCCATTTGATGGCCTATTTGCAGAACCAAGAAAAGACAAGACTGATGCACAACAACACGGTGGCAATGGCACATTATCAACACCGAATATTGAGCAGCCAACATGCCAGGGCTCCATGCTGCCACCACCTGGCGGTGGCGGCGGCGGAGGCGGTGGCGGCATGCACCAGCAGCAGCAATACAACCAGACCGATTCCAATAATAAAGTGGAGCGACCCAATACTCTGGGCGGCAGCAACAAGCTGTCGCGGCGAGGAGTCAACATTTGCTACCACAACGAGCACTGTAAGTGGACAACAAACTGAATTCGATTGTGTAGTACAAACTTTATGCTAGAGTATTACCAATAGACCATAACCGGAAAATGGAAGCCTGTACGCATAAAACTGTTAAGCGATGGAGTTTCAAATAGTTTTAGTTGATCTTCAACCGACCCAATTGGAGGTTCTCAATTAAATAAGTACAGCAGTCTAGGATTTGCTAAATTCAAAATACTTAGAGCTTTTATCCTTCTTAGATGTAGTTTCTATTAAACAAAATACCCTAGTTTAGTTTTGAAAGGCAATGAAATCTAATTTATATTCTCATAAGGCATTAATTTGAGTCTCAGTTGCTTATCGATAATTATTAGGCAATCGATATTGATAGATTCGTACTGCAACTGATTTTGCTATTGGCAAATCTCACCTATATTTATAGAATTTGTTCAGCACTGACTTGCAGCGATAGTTATGGGTCAGCTTATGATTACCCTCAATCATATTTGATTATAGCAATCAATTTGATTTATCTCAAACTAAACTAAACTTTATCTATCGATAACTTTTGTTATCGATATTTGAGGACTCATTTGATGAGAGAGCTATCAGTCGTTTTACTATTACCCTAAATAATATTTGACTATCGTTAACTGTTTCGATCAACCGGCTTATCTACAATCGATGTCTATAGTTTTTTAACGAATGACCGATAACTTATGATTATAGGGCAACTTATCTATCGATAGCTGATCGCTTACTATAATTATCGATATATTTACGATTACCCCCAATTAAATTCAACTATCGTTAACAGTTTCGATAAACAGGTTTCCATCGGATGGTTTCAATCCCCCACACTTCTCTCACAACACACACCACACACATCTCACACCACACACTCGCACACTCTCACACACGCATACATTCACGTCATTGGCTAGCGACAAAAAAATGTAAAGAAAAAAAAAACAATTCACACTCATTCACTCTATCGTTCTGCCTCTCTGTCTCTCTCGCTCCTTATTTTGCCCCGATTCTTGATTGTAATCGTTTTTGTAGATGGCGGCGACGATGGCAAAATGGTGGGTGGACCGCCGGGCAGCACACCACCGCCATATGCTGGCGGCAAGCTGCCGCCGGGCGTGATGCTCAGCGAGCTGCCAGAGCCGCCGATACCGGTATCGGAAATTGGACCCATCCCACCGCCGCCGATGTTCTCCACGCCGAGCCCGACGCTCATCGCTGGACGACCGCACGGGCCAGGCGCTATAAACGATCAGGATTACCAGCAGGACTACGACTATGATGGTAAAGTTAACCAATCGAAACATCAGCTAGCTTCAGCTCATTACAACTGCGCACTTCATAAATTATGCTAGTGCCCCCCCGCCCCGCTCCCACAAAACTAAAAAATCAAACCAAAGTGTGACCGAGTTGCCCAACTATTTAACTAACTTTCTGGTCTGTCCACAACTGTTTTGCCTTCCCACACAGATCACGATCCCGACCAGGACGAGCTCGACTCCGATGATGAGTACGCGCCGTACGGCGGCAACCATGTGCGCGTCATGGATACGCAGCGCGTCGAGGAAATTCCAGCCAAAGAGCCAAAACCAAATGCAGTTCCTCTAAAGTCGGCGCTGAAGAAAAAGGTCGGCATCTCCGGCAACGCCAATTCCGCCTCCACGCCAGTCACGCCCACACAGGAGCATCACAGCGCCGCAACAGCTGCTGCCATTTCCAATAGCAATGGCGGCATTGGCTCCATGGCGGCCGCAGCCGCTGCAGCGGCCCAGCAGTCGGCCAATCAGCGTCCACTCGTGGTGCGTCAGGATGCGGCGGGCAACAACTATTCGCTCAAGTAAGTCGCTGGTCAACTGGGTAGCTCTAGTGTCTATAGTTCTTGCGTTCCATTTGAGTTGTTTCTTTTTCTTCGTTTTGTGTAGTTTGAATTTGTTTTACTTATCTTTCTTCTCTCTTTCTCTCTCTATCTCTCCCCTCTCTCTCTCTCTCTGTACTCATCATGTTACGGGCGGTTCTTCCCTCCACTTGTTTCATTCTGCTGCCACAACAAAACTAACCAAAATCTATCCCTGAATAATTAATTTTTGTATGAATAATATCTTAAATTTATTGTTCTGCAATTTTATCTTAAAACAAAAAAACAAAATTATTTTTCTTTTCAATCAATTTGTTGTTTTGTTCTTGTTTGTTTTCCTTTTGTGCGCGTGCTCCACACGTTCTTCTGCTCCCTACCCAACTACTACTACTACAACTCAATCTCTACTATATACAATCTCTACAATATATATACAATCAATCAACCAAAAATACAACCCGTATACGTTATTGAACCGAAATCAGGCCTATACTACGACCACGGATTAGAATATGGTAAACATTTTTTTAGCTAATTTATTTGTTATGTGAAACGTATGCCAAAACGCTTTTTAGACTACTTCACTTCGCGCTCTCTCACTCACTCTATTCCCCCTCTCTCTTTCGCTCTCTCTCTCTCTCTCTCCCTCTGTCTCTCTCTCTCTCTCTCTCTCTCTATCTCTCTGTTGTGACAACCCGCTAGAATTTTATTTTCAAATACCCCCAAAAACAATTCAACTTCAAGTTTAATGCAGGCCAAGAATTTTTATAAAATTACAAACGGAAATTCTCTTGTTTTATATTGTTTCGATTTATTTTTCAAGTTTTTTCAGACGTAAATTGTATTGTCCTGCATAGTCCTTGAAGTGTTTTAATCCTCTACCATATCCCAATTCCCCGCTTCTCCAATTGCCATCCCCATGCACCTTAACAATCATATTTCGGTTATGTGTTTTGATTAAATTTTAAACACTGCCCCCTAAAGCAAAAACTTGACAACACTTAAACGAGAAGAAGCAGAAACATTCACACACTCAACAGCAAACATGGGCACACTGTTTCTTTCTTTCTTGTTTCTTTAGTATTGAATTACTAACTTTTGGTTGTTTGACATTAAGTTTAATTTTCTCATGTGCCTCCTATCCGCTGAACTTCCAAACCCTCAATGTCGTACATATAAATATCTCTCTGTGCGTGTGCGTGTGTGTGTGTGTGTCTGTGTTTGTGTCGGTATTGTTTTTATGATAAAAGTTTTCTTTTACTTTAGTTGATTATATTTTCTTTAACGCCGCTGCATGTTGCCACTGCGAGACAAGTTTTCATTGCATACTACACAGGCTTTCAACTTCCTTATGAAGCACATGATATTACACAGCATGCCTTAATTTAATTTCTTTGTCACTGCATGTCAAAGCAACATATATAAAAATAAGACCCAACACAAAAAATTAAAGAACAATAAATTGGGATTCAGAAGTGGCTTTCATTGTTGGTTGAGGATAAATATAAAAAACGTTGACAGATGACAAGTGCTACAAGTTGAGATGATTTCTGTAGCCAACGATGCGGCATAATCGAAACTCGATTGGTGGCAGCCGCACATGCGAGTCCTTTAACCACGCCCCAATTGGCCCAAAAGAGCCTTGAAAGGAAGCAAAAGAAAAAAAAAAGGAAAAGAATATGCAAAACAGTTGCAACAAAGCGTAAAAGCAAAGCAACTGTACGTAAATGCAAAAATTCTTAACATATTTATCATAAATTGTGCGAGAAACCGAACAACGGACAGTCCTTTACCATGGTGATAAACCATGTAGAGCATTGCGAATTAAATTTGGTACTCTATTGCCAATAGCGAGCAGTTAGTCGAGAAATAAATATATATATTTAGAACCTTAGACTAACTAGCAAAAGGGATGAGAATGTCTTTGAATCACTTTAGTAAACGCATCTGTGACATAATAACATATCCTGTAGCAAGCTAATCTTCTAGCAAGGATAATATAATCTGCATATTAATAGGAGTACAAAGAGAGAAGCGTAGTCTTGGGGAAGTGTCAGTGCAGGCGCAAGAAGCGAAGCGAGAAGTTAAAAATTAAAAGATAGCAAACATGCTATTACATTAATTTTAGCGCTCCTTTTGACCATTTTTTTGTAGTTGGTGTGATCATACAAAGTATAAGGAATGTATGTCAAAGTCAACTTGATAAAAATCGGGATAAATGTATATCTTGTACGGACTTAGAGGTAAAGTTAGCAAGGGAATTGAAGACTACTGAACTACCGATTTGCTCCTTTAAATATCATTGAAATGAGGGGCTTGGCAGATAATCATAATCGATATCTATCAAGCTGTTTTCAGACTGTTAGATATTATTGCGTAGTCGATTACCCCGACTGCAACGTCCTGTCTCTATTTCGTCTTTTAATACATAAAATAGATAACTTTAATACCTTTGTAGAACTCCCTAAATGTGGCAGCCCGTCAGACTCCTTAAATCTGCTTTTGGGTCTTGTACATTTTGCAGGCAGTTCTTCTGATTGAAGATGACTTGCGAAAGGGTATTGATAAAGCGGCACTTGTGTTGCATAATTCGCTTCAACTCGTTTTGCATGGTAATGTGGCAAGCATAGACACGATACGATTACACACACACACACACAAATACACACGAACACCCGCACACACACACACACACACACACAAGATATACGCTTAATGCGAAAGTGTTGCGGATGCGCCTGACAGGATATAACATACCGGGCGGGCTTCTCGGCCAGGCGACAGCTTTAAGTACAAAGCCAAGCACACACACACACGGATTCACACATACACACACACACACTTGCATGACTGTGGTAAATGTATGCGAATGAGTTGCCAGATGTGCGCACACGTGTCGTTAAAAAGAAAAGCACAAAAAACAACAACAAATTGGTGGAACAAAATAAAAAAAAAAGGGAAAAGATAAATCCGAGAGCAGGCAAAAGCATTTGGCTAGCAACAAAAAAACTTTAAGGACATGTGCCAGAGAGTTATGCAGGAAGATGAATAAATTAAGCATACTGTGTGTGTTGGTGTGTGTGTGGGTAAATCTGTGAAATTGCGCTAGCGAGATTGCAGAGATGAAAGTGTTTTTTTAGGCTTTGCTGCATGTCCTTTTGATGTATAACTGTGAGTGTATGTGCGACTGTGCGTTAAATGTGACCAGCCTAATGATAGTAATTAAAAATAACGTATATATATACAAATGCTTGCCGCAGTTGGTAATTAACTAATCTGTTGAACCAATTCCCAACAGCAGGCAGCAAATGTTCAATATCCAACTGCCGTGCACCGTGGAGAACAAGGAGAACACGCGGCCGTTTGTGATAAGGGAGAGCAGCAGCGATAGCGATGAGAGCGATGGTCACATTGTCTATCGGGACGATGACAATGATAATACACGGCTGGCCAAGCTGGCGCGCAAGGAGTCGCTGTCATTGAAGCTGCAGCTGCGACCAGACAAACAGGATCTGATCAATCGCAATATATTGCATCAGGTCAACGACAATGAGATCAAGGAGTCCAAGGAGGCAATTGGGGCGCGCCTAATCCGACGGCTATCAATGCGACCCACCGCCGAGGAGCTGGTGGAGCGCAATATTCTAAAAAGTGAGTGCACCCCTACAATTAAATGAACTATTTCTTACCAAAAACCATTTAACGTCATCAGCTCAATCACCCGCCGAGGAGAAGAAGCAGAAGGAGGAGAAGAAATCGTATTTACTGCGCAAACTCAGCTTTCGGCCCACCGTCGAGGAGCTCAAGGAGAAGAAGATCATACGCTTCAACGATTACATTGAGGTAACGCAGGCACATGATTACGATCGACGGGCGGATAAGCCATGGACAAGACTGACGCCAAAGGATAAGGCTGCCATACGCAAGGAGCTGAACGAGTTCAAGTCCTCCGAAATGGCAGTCCACGAGGGCAGTCGCCATCTGACGAGGTAATTAAACACAAAATCATGCCCAAATGCCACAACTCACTCAACCTTGGCCACCAAACTCGAAACTCAAACCCGAACCAAAATCGACAACTGAGCCAAGCGCAAAATTGCCAAATGCCCAATGAAGTGTCACGTGCAGTTCACTGCCACTGACCAATCCCATTCCGAGCTCCAAGTGCCCCACACCCAAGCGTCCACTTTTCCACTTGTCCACTTGCCCCATTGCATTGTTCCTGCGATATATGTGCTGCCACAAAGGACTTTGCGTTTGCTAACTGCATTTTGTCGTCCTTTTTCTTTTTTATTCTTTCGACATTTCTATTTCCATTTCCAGCTGCAGTTTTTTTTACTGCCATGTGGGCAGTGGGTGGCAGTCAACTTTTATAATGGCTTTTGGATTCTGTGGTCGCAGCTCTCCTTTAAAGCCCCACGCGCGACATGCTTTAACTAACCAAGCGCCGCAAGTTTTGGGCTTTCGGGTCCAACAAATTAGACAGGCCATGCACACGCAAGCACCAGCTACAACTAGTCCCCAATAAGCTGGCAAAGTTTCAACAAGCAACAAAAGCGTTGCCAGACAGTTTAAGATGACTTTAAACTTAGGTCAAAAGGCTGAAAATACTTTAAGCAAACGTCAAAGAGCTACGTTTGTGGCAAAAATGAAAATTTAATTTCATTAAAACGGCTGCCAGACCGTTTAAAAGTCAGTCTTGACATTTCTAAGTGGCTGCCAATATTTAAAAGTGGCTTCAATTTACTTAAAGCGTAGCCAGACAGCACCTAGTCTTTGACTTTAATGTGTTTTGTCTGAAATAGCTTTAAATTCTAACTTTAATTCAAATTAAAATCTAAAGCTAAGCCAAGCACAAAGCGTTGCCAGACAGTTTAATTTCTTGTGCGTCGTCCAAAACAGCTATATGTTTGAATTCTGGTAAAAATTGAAATCTAAAGCTAAAGCTAACACTCACAGCTGCCAAATTTCCCCTATACAAGCCAGTGCTGCCTTTTGGGGCATTTAAAACCTAGTTTGAACGGTTGCTAATATTTAAAACAGCTTTAAATGCAAAGCAACAAATTCAAAAGCTAACTAAAATTCCAAAATCGTTGCCAGCTGTGTAAACTTTCATGCCGAGTGGATTTTTGTTACCTTCAAAAAGAAAAACAAACTAAAAATATTTGAAATAAAATGTACAGTGGCCCTTGTTAATCAAAATATGCACTAGAGCGTTGCCAGACCGCTTGAATGTTAGTTATATATCATGTTTCCAACTAACTTCTCAGGTTGGCGCTATCTTAATCAAAAAGTGTAATCTAATCCAAACATTACGCAGTGTTGCACACTTTGGGCTTCAACTTTGCAGCAGAAACGGAAAACTAATCTTAACTTTTGCAATTTTCGCAATTTTCTTCTACCTTGCAGATTCCATAGGCCATGACGATTGCAATGGCAGCAACTTTCCAACAAATTACAGCAACAACAACCCAAACAATTGTATTTTGTGCAGCATAAAATTGTCAACAAATATTTAAAAGCAAAACATTAAGAAACAACAAAAACAAAAAAACTCAAAAAAAAAAATCACAAAAAAATACAAAAAAAAAGAAAGTTTAAAAATAAAAAATGCGATAAGACACAATAAGAAGAAGAAAGGCAAATAACAATTTTCAAATGGCAAAATTTAGTAAGAAGAAGCAGATGCAATTCAAATTGAAATGTTTTATTTGTTTAGGGTTTTCTGTTGATTGCGAATTCCGCTCGTTTTTCTAATTTTAAGTTCTATTCTGTACGTAGTATTTTTTGTGTTTTTTTCTACAATTATTCTTTGTTGATTGTGTATGTAAATAAATTTTTTTGGCAATTCCCCCAAAATAGATTTGAGAAATGCAAATCAAAATATCAATTCGTCTTGTGTAGATGTGTTAAGTCGATTTGTTAATTCTTCAGTCATGGCAATTATGTATTATATTATATAACAGTGAAAGGTAAACTAAATTACACATTGGATAAATGTTTAAACTAAATTACATTTATATTAACACATTAACATAAAACCACAAAACAAGTCAAGCAAATAACAATTTCAGAGAGAGAGAAAGAGAAATTCTTAAACTTTAAGCATAAATTTACTTTTACTGCTGATTTCCATACATTTTTAGATTTTGAATTAAGCCAACTACAAATTAAAAAAGAAAAGAATGAAAAAAAAAAGCAACACCGCAAATAATATTATAAATTATACAAAATGCGAACAGTTCTAAAACAAACATATATATATTCTATTTTTAAATTTATTATTATTGTAAAAAGCCTAAACGTAAACAACACATTAAAAAATAGAGCTGAATAGAAGAACATAAAAATATTAAAAAATAAATTACAATTTTTTTGAAAGACATTTCAGCAAAAACTGTTGCCAGGTTTTATTATTTATTTCAGTTCTTAAATTAATTATAAGTTATATTTAACATTTGATTTGTATATAACATGTACATACATATCGCCGAATTGCATAAAACTTGAAAGCTTATCGTGAAAAATAGGTAAAGCCATAAATAAGGACAACAACTCTAGTTGGAATGAGGACACAAAGATAAGGCAACGTGCTCAAAGAATAAGTAGAATGGATAAATTTCATAAAAACAAAAAACCGATCGATAAATTTGTAACAAATAACATGGCAAGAAAATATCAGGAATTACAAACTGAAGCAAGTTGGACCCAGTATGAAGTTTTTTAAGTGAAAACGACGTAACAATTTAACACGTAAGTCACGTAAGATTTTAGAAGCAGAAGGAACCAAAAAAAAAAAATAAATTAAAACCACAAAATAAAACAAAAATCACATCAACTAAATGTTGAATAAATATCTATTTTGTAAAGCGAGTTGCGAATAGTTACGAATGATTAAAATGAGAAACTGAAACTTTTACTCCAGCATTCACATAGTTATGAATAATCCAAAAAAAAAGAAGAAAATAATGAAAATATAAATTCCTAATTGTAAAAAAATTTGCGAAAAAAAAGAAAAAGAAATTACGATTAATTGAAATGCAAATTCAAATGCTCGCGCGTGCTCGTGAATATTAAAATTAAAAAGCTAAACAAAAACAAAAACAGTTTCAAAGGACATTTAGTAAGAAATTAAGCTCTACAAATAATAGAGAAGACAAGAAAAAGCGAACTTAGTTTAAAGATAAATTGGCGCTTCCTTTGCAAGTTTCATATTTCTAAAGCAAACAACACACTCACACACAATTTAAAGTAAAAGACAAAAATAATAAATAAATAGACTAAAGAGTAAAGTAAAAACTTGTTTCAGGGCAGTCAACGAGTTGGCTCGAATAAAAAGCTTTTGCTTGATATCGCGAGGCTTGCGTCATATATATATGGCGAGAAGTTACGATCTAATAGCACAAATAGGTCAGCTGCCAGTTTCTCAAACCGAATCTAAGTCGTGTCTCTCACACTCTCTGTCTCTTGCTTTAAGGCGTTGCATTGTCAGAGTTAAGCAATATAAATTGCAAATATATATATATACATACATATATATATATATATATATATATATATATATATAATTATACATATACATTAAATATCTATACAAACTATATAGTATATATGTATACAACTATTTATATGAGATGAAGAAGCAGCTAAAGCAGTTGACGCTATATACATACAACTATCAATATGGGATAGCATAATTTACACTTTTTCTATGAATCGACTTTTAGTGTACAATAAAAACAACAACAAAAAACTACACTAACAACAACATCCACAACAACAGGAGCCCCCGCGTTGATTGAGAGCCTACCTATCCATAACTAGCGACGAGTTTTAGTTTAAATGCAACTTTGTGTACAGCATTTCACACTGTCCTTTCGAATTCTGTTTTCAACTCTAACAACAAAATTTGCAGTTGCCGTTGCAAAAGCAAAAAATGCAAATAATATTTAAAAGAAAATGAAATGAAAAACTGTAGAAATAAATAAGAACACCACATGACAAAAAAACAAAAAAACACGAACAACAAACAAGCAGCAGCCAGAGCAAGTATCTAATAGCACTTGGTCAGATCTTCTAGGCTGAGAAAAATAAAAAAAAGAAAACATTTGTAAAAGCCCAAAGTTAGGCAGAATCCGTTGTGAAGATTTGCAAAATGACACGTTAAGTAAATTAGCAAATTAAGCGTAGACAGTCGAAGTATGCAGACACAGAAAGAAACTGTACGAACAACAAAAACAAAAACACAAAAGAATATTGAATAATAATCACCGACAAATTGAGATTTAATAAAGATTTAATTACTTACAAAACACATAACATATAATTTAATGGAATAGCCTTTTGATAAGAATAATCAAGCTCGGAAAATGTATTTAATGTGAAGCTAATGTGTTCGAGTCGGATATATTTACCGACTGTAGCAAATATTAAAGAAAGCAAGTAAGTATATACTCAGTTCACATTCTAATAACTTACAAAATTTGTATTACGAAATATTATTTAATTCATATTCATATTCGCTTCCATTAATTTATCTTATTCGTTATTTATATTCTTATAGATACTTCATCAGTTTCATCTATCATCAAAATTGTCTCTGGTTTAATTCACACACATCAAACAAAATTCAACATCCATGCATGCAGACTTTGATTCCAAACTCGGTTTGTCATAAATGTTTTTTCAAAATTTCAATGTTTTAATTATATTTGCGCGCCTGTACCACTGAAAATATTGAAAATCATAAATATTTTCATGTACAAAAGGCGCGCTAGAATTGGGTTCTATCAAATAAGCTAAGATAAATGTCATAGCCGGGGCTGGGCCTCCCTTCAAAAGTTTTGAGCTATAAGCCAAGTCATTATGGTTCGATTCGGGTTTCAGTTCATTCGTTTTGTTAGCTTCATTGCTTTGTAGTTTGGGTTATAGTAAACTATTTATTTGATTTACGGGTTGATATATACATATTATCAATTTGCCAGGCAAATTTGGGTGTTATATAATCGCAACACTTCAACTGACTCGCAATAAAACTTTCATTGCTTATTCTCCGACTGTTAGAAAACTCATTCAAAGCACACAAATTAGGCAGAGCTTGAAATTAGCTGCATGAATCGATTTAATAAAATTTCAATAACCTTCAAATGGGCATATATATTGATGTACTTATGAATTTAATACGCTGTTAAACAATTTGAATGTGTGCATAATCTGGGTACCCATTTGGTGCTTATTCGTCTATTTCGCCCTCGTACATGATATGAAAGCGCTCTCTAATTGCCTCGACGCTGTCACAACCATTGATCACATCGGCGACATGCTGAGTGCCCGCCTGCAGGAGACCGTCAATGTTCAGATAGTCGGCCGCAATGATCAGCTCAAATATGGTCGAGTCGGTGGCATTCGATTCGGTGAGAATGCGCTGGAATAGGGAACGTTGATACTGCAGCATTTCCTTGTGTTCCAATGGCGCGTCCACTGTTTGCACGGCCTGGCACCAGTCGAGGACGAGCTTAAATATATCGGACCTAACTCGGTTCAGTGGCATCACATTGGCATCGTCATCGGGGCCATCGTTGCCTTTCAAATCTCCGCGCTCCGACTGCAGCCAGCTGTGGGTCAAACCCATTTGCTGGGCGACCTCGAGACACACATCAAAGACGATGCCATCGCTCGTGCGTATTTGAAGTGCTTGTGATGGCTGCGACATTTAAACGGGTTTTATGTCAGGTTGATTTTCTTTTTGTAGTTGAAAATTAATTTGCTAGTGGCGAAACGTTGCCTCAACGATTGCTGAGACTTGATTACAAATATGTAGCCAAGGCAGCCCGAAAGTATACGGCAAAATGTGCGCAGCTGCACAGACTGAAAGTTGTAGCATAACTTATGGGTCTGTGTGTGTGTTGCCCCCCTTTGAACTCTGAATGCTTGTAGAAATTCATTGAATTCATTCATAAATTCCGTCGCGTTCTGCTTGCCACTTCACGTGCCAACGGAGCGGAGCAAGTGCGTCTTTGTATCTTTGCAAATGTATCTGCGTACGTGCCAGACTCAGACTCTCAGACAGCCAAGCTACAGCAGCCTCAGCCTCAGGTGAGGCGACAACAACGACAAAGACAACAACAACAATGAACACAGCTACAACGACAACGACACCAATCACAATCATCATAAGGCCGTCGCCATCGCAGTTGATTATGATGAGCTCTTTTCGAGCTGACTTTTTTCTTGAAGTGTTTGCTGCTTGGCTCGTCTCCATCTTCAACTCCATCTCCATTGCCAGCTCCATCTCAGTTGCTTTCCTTTGCGAAAGTTTATCATTGCGGCAAGATTCTAACATTTTTGTGTGCATTCCACTTTGGTGCGTTTTCGGATTTCTCAAGAGTTTGCCTTTTGCCACGCTCATAAAACGTACTCGAACTCATTAAAACGCGCACTCTGATAACCGAAATGGCCACATTGGACGGTGGTCGCTGGGGACGGAATGGAGGGACATGGAACGGGTTGGCGACGTGTTTTGCATGTGCCGTGTAAAGCCGACTGATTTATTTGATGGCCATTTGTTGCTGGTTGCCGGCAAGTTAGCACGTTGCACGATGGGTTCTGTGCTGGCTGCGAAATGGGGCAAGTAGGCAACAATTTCGAGACTGGCAAAATGTGCCCAGTTAATTAGCCAAGTTCATGTGGGAAAAGTTGTACAAGTGGACAGTTGTGAAAGAACTGCCACAAATTGGTTATGATGATGCTTAACTCTGGGCAGCATAGTTGTTGGAAACTGGGTACAAATTGACGGGAATATGTAGAGCTATAAAATTAAGCGTATTATTTTATTTTTTGGTATCAACATTTCTGTAGCTCTGCAGTGCCCATATATCTATATATATCAATTACATTCAAATGAAAACACGCTTTAATTCGGTCATCGACAGTGTTATCCGTAGAGTGTTATCATAATTGCAAACAGTTTGAAAATAATCCTCGTGTTGGCATGCCAGCATAAATTTAACAAGTTGTCGTTGGATTATCCAAGTGGATTTCACTGCCAGGATGTCTCATATATATAAAAACACTACATTTTATCGGAAACATTCTTCAATCTGCTAAAATTGCAACCAGCTTGTAAATTTATTGGCGTGCTAGAGTGGCAGCATGCACTTCACACGTAGGAGCTTCAAATGGAAATAGGTATGTGCCAACTATATCTATTAATTACATTGTATACCATATCTCAAATAATTAATCTGGTCAACCAGGTCATCATCCATCAGGCGTTTAAATAATTGCAAGAAGCTTTTAAATGTATCGTCATGATTGAATGCACCTTGCAATTAGCCGCAGCAATATCCAAATGGATTTCGGTATGTCCCATATATATTAATTATTTATATCAATTACTTTAAATATGTCAATCAATCTATCCAGTCTCATGTTGGGGATCAGATCTGAAACTGTTCTAAGGATTTTTTTTATATATATTATATATGCTATTATATCCTAACGTCACGGATATTGCAACATTAGGAGTTAGACAAATGCCTGTGCTACTGGCTTGGCCAACTACAGTGCTGTCCATTTTATTGGGTCATGTTGGGGCTCGGGGTTGGCAGCTAACAACAATTTGAGAAAGAAACAAAAATTTGCATTTGGCCCGATCGTAGTTCGCGACTTGTCGTTGCTGTGGATTTCTTTATGACCCGAGCTGGCAGTGGCGCGGAGTTTTATTTCAACCATGGCCTTTGTTTGGCTGCAAGTTTATTTGATTCTATTTTCATTTTATTTGAATTGTGGTGCGCTTTTATGGCCTGTGCATGAGCCTGTTGCCTGCCAGCCTGCCAGCCAGCCAGCCAGCCAGCCAGCCAGCCTGGCTGAGATTTGTTTTGTGAAAGTTACAGCAAGAGACGCTATCGATGAGCCCCAAGAAGTCGTTGAATCAGAGTCCCAGCCATAGCCGTGGCCATTGCTTTTGGCTTTTTCAGTTGGTGATTGTAAAACAATAAAAGCAACACCTGACTGCCGTTTGCCAGCCGCACAATGGCGTTGATGGCGACGCGGATGCGGACGTTGTCGTTGTTGGTGGGCTTCAGCCAGCAGCAGCAGCAGCAGCGGCAGCAGCAACAGTTGCAGATCTTATCAGCGCGTTGCTATGCCCAAAAATGGCCAAGACAAAAACATGCTTATTGTTTTGTAGATTTGGTGACGCGGCCTAAACATTTCAATTGCGTTTTGCGTTCTGTGCGTTTGGACAACAGCAACAACAACAACAACATCGAGTGCAACAGCAACAACAAATTGCCGGCTGATTGCTGCTGATGGAGAGCTGAAGAGCTGCCAGCGGAGCGCAGAGGCGTGGTGCGGTGCGGCGTGTTGCGGGCATTCGAATCGAAATCTAAATCTAAATAAATAAAAATCGTGCTCTGTTGCCTTTTTTTAAGTCTTAAGTGAAAGGCAGCGGCGAGATCAGCGTCTTGGCCAAAGTATCTCAATGCGCTGCAAATTTAATCAATTGATGAGGCAGCTTGCAACTGGCAACCTGCTGCATGCCGCCTGCTGCCTGCCGCTTGCACTTGTTGTCGTTGCTTTTATTGTTGTTGTTAGTTTGTTGCTGTGATGGCAATTTGGATTTTGTGGCTAACACAAACCTGACCAGAAAGACATTTACATTCTACGTTTAAGTGTTGTTGTTGTTGCTGTTGATTTGCTGCTGTGCAAGTGTCGCAACAACCACAATAACAGCAGCAACAACAACAACAACTTTACACGCTAGAAACCGTGACTTTAATTTTCTTTATTTTCCCACCCGCGCTCGCTTCCTTTCGGTTGTTTTTTTGATTTGTTTCTCCTTCTGTTTTTTTTTTATATAATATCAATTTTATTTTTTCTATTTGGACTTTTCATTAAATCACCTCGCAGTGTCGCCAATTCCCCCCGCTCGCATTTCTGCACCCCTTTCTCATTTTGTTGTCTTGCTTTTAATTTGTAATTACTTGCACATTTTACTTTCGTTTGTGGCATTTGATTTATGGCCCAGCGAATTGTAGTCGCCAAATAAAAACTTGGCCAAAACGTGGCAACTGGCAATTGGAATCGTGAGTCGAGCACAAATGTTGCTAGAATTAAGAAAGTTTTAAATGCCGTTTACCTTTATTTTCACTTGGGTGCGTTACATATATTATTTATTTATTAAATATGTTAATAGACAATCTTTTATTAATTGTTATATATAACTTTTAATCCTGACTAGTTAATGATTTAGTTCTGATTTGCTAAATTCATCTCCGAATATTTCAAATATTTCAATATCGCTCTACTCTGCGATTCTCATATTCATTGTTTTCTTTATGCTAAGTGTTATCTAATTGCCTATCTTATAAACCTTATCTCTGCTCATTCTCTTACTTTAATTTACTTCCACTTCATTTCTCTTACTATTTTCATTTATTTTGTATTTGTTTTTATTTCAGTGATACGATTATAGTCAACTATCTCCCCTCTACTAAAGGTGACAATATAATATTCGTGTGGGTAAGTACATATTTAGCTTATATTTATTATTTTGTAATTATTTTAAATATCTTTATATTTTATTTGACCCCAGTTTGTTGATCCTACTTTCCGCTCTTGTTTTGTATTTAGGATTTTAGATTGAATTCGATGTATTCCTTGAGCCTAATCTTTTATTCATGTTTTTATTTAAAGCTCCCATTTCCTTCCAGTTGTGAGATATATTTGGCACTTTGTCCAACTATTCGATCATCCCATTCTTAGTTTACATATCTTCTGAATCAGCTGTGATTATAGGGCTTTTTTGCCAAAAGCTCATCTGATCCTTAGTTTTCCACACATGTTAAGTGAGTCAGCAATACTCCTTCCTCGCATTTTACATCCGTTTCTAGCAACCTGCTGTTAACGCGTTTTCCTGTAAATGATGCTCATTAGCTTCATTGCAATGTTGCCATTGTCATCGTCGCTGCACTTGACACTTGCCGCTGACATGTTGTTGTCGTTGCACGCAATAACAGCGGCAACAACAGCCACAACAGCAACACCCACTCACTATTGCAGTTGCACACAGATGCAGTTGCAGTTGCAGTCGCAAATGTGCAACAATTTCAAAGAGCTTCCACTTAGAGCAACTGCTGCTACCAGCAACAAGTTGCTGCAACTTGACTGCAACAGCAACATCAACAGCAGCTGCAGCAGCAACAGACCCATTGATTAGGTGACCCTTGTAGCGGTCCGAGACTGTCAGTTTTTTTTCTCTCTTTCTGTCTGTTGTTTCTTGCCTTGTCGTTTCTTTGCCTTTACCTTTCTGTGTTGCCCCCAATTGTCATTGACTGTTGCTGTTGCAGCTGTTGTTACTGTTGTTGCAGCCAGCTCAATTGATTGAATTACATACATGATGTTGCTGCCGCGAGCTGCCTCTAGGCCTCAACACCCCCACATTTACTTGGCTGACTTTTGAGCCCTGTCGCGACTCACGGGCCACTCTGGGCCATGTTGCAGAGTCAAACAAAGTCAGGCCAGTTCACCGGTTAGCCAGTTAATTAGCAGAGAGGCAGCTGCCAGCGCTGTTGCTGTTGTCCTTGTGCCAGTTGTGGCTAGGTTGCAAGAAGTGCGCTGGGATGTGGCAAAATATGGCAGCTGATGAAAAGATACAAAGATGTTCGACAGGCGAGCATCTGTTGATTACCAACTGGCTGCGACTCGACT